GGTTGCTGTGAGCTGTGATGCCATAGCACTCTACCCAGGGTGACAGCTTGAGACTCTATCTCAAAAGAAAAAAGAAAAAAGAAATGACAATAAAGCTTATATTTGGGTAAGGTTTGGGCAGGCAAAAAGCTGTAGTGGGTAGAACATTCTAGGCAGCAGGAAAAGTATGTGCAAAGTCCCTGTGGCTATGGGGTAGTGAGTCAAGAGAAGTGGCAGCACCCAGGAGGCAAAAGGGACAGGAAGAACCAGTTGCACAAGGCTCAGGAGGCTATGGTGAGGAGTCCAGGCTTTCTGTTTAGCTGCTGCAGGACTTTCAGCATGGAGAAAGGAGCGAGGAGTATACAGAGATGGGGAGGCCCAAAGGTTCCTATGGGCATCTTGAAAGGTGAGAAGAGTGCTTATTCTTTCCAACTCTAAGCTCTGGCATCCCTTTCATACTACACCACTGGTTCTAATGTGGGGTCCTGCTCCCATACCCATTCTCAAGAATCTCCCCATCAGACTGGCTGGAATAAGACCAGGAGGAGGAGGAGGTGGGGGTCGAGAAAAACAATTATTACTCTCCTCCATATGTTTTATCCCCCTTTCCACTCACATTCATCTCTTCTCACCTCCATAGATTCCTTCTTCCTCAAGCACCATCTCACATGCATAAAACTGAAAGAGAAAAGGAAGTTGATTAGCAACCATCACCTCTGTTCTTTCCATTTCTTGGGAGTTTCTCTATGATCACTAATGAGGACAATAATTACTGAACCCAGTGAAAAAAGCACTGTTGGAATCATCTAGCCCATTTCTTTTCATTCAATTTGTTTATGTATCAAGTTAACTGCTTTTCTGTCTCCCTGAGAGACTGGAAAAACTTTTTACAAAGAAGGATTTCGGCTCTCTTTGAAGGGTGAGTCATGCAAACAGAGATGGGAGGAATGTGTTCTAGAAATCATGGAAGAACAAGTAGGCAAAAGAGAACAGTGCACTCTGTTCAGGACTGTGGAACCTGGGGAGGCACTGACATGGCCTTAGGAGTCAATGGCAGGTAAGTTATATCTAAAGGGGTTAGTTTGTCCCAGCCAAAAGAATAAAGAGTAGAGCAGTAAGGACTCCAGGGAATACCAAAACAAAAGGGGCAGAGTGTAGGACTAAGCAGAGAAGACTGAAGAATACTTGGGCAGGAGCAGAACACAGCCACCCTGAAGGCAGGGAAGGTTTTTTTTTTTTTTTTTGAGACAGTCTCACTATGTCAGTAGTGAGTGCCTCAGCCTCCCAAGTAGCTGGGACTACAGGCGCCCACCACAACACCCGGCTATTTTTTTGGTTGCGGTTGTCACTGCTGTCTAGGAGGCCTGGGCTGGGCTCAAACCTTCCAGCCATGGTGTATGTGGCTGGCGCCCTACTCACTGAGCTATGGGTGCCACCTGTATTGCTCATTCTTAAAAATCTTCCCTCGGCTCGGTGCCTATAGCTCAGCAGCTAGGGCGCCAGCCACATAGACCAGGGCTGGCAGGTTTGAGCCCAGCGGGCCTGCCAAACAGCAATGACAACTGCAACTACAAAAAAATAGCTGGGTGTTATGGTAGGCGTCTGTACTCCCAGCTACTTGGGAGGCTGAGGCAAGAGAACTGCTTAAGCCCAAGAGTTTGAGGTTGCTGTGAGCTGTGACGCCACAGCACTCTACTGAGGGTGACATAGTAAGACCCTGTCTCAAAAAAAAAAAAAGACTGAGCAATACAGTAATGCCAAATGCCAGAGAAGTTAAGTAGGATGAGCATTAAACAGACACTACCAGGGGCAGCCTAGCCAAGGTGCAGTGGGCAGTCTGCATGCTAAACAATACCACAGCCATTTGGCAGCGCCTGTGGCTCAGTGAGTAGGGCACCAGCCCCATATACCAAGGGTGGTGGGTTCAAACCCAGCCCCGGCCAAACTGCAACAAAAAACAGCCAGGCGTTGTGGCAGATGCTTGTGGTCCCAGATACTCGAGAGACTGACGCAAGAGAATCACCTGAGCCCAAGAGCTGGAGGTTGCTGTGAGCTGTGACGTCACAGCACTCTACCAAGGGACAAAGTGAGACTCTGTCTCTATTTAAAAAAAAAAAAAAAAAAGCTATACCACAGCCATTATAGACACCTGGGCCCACCTGATGTATGCCAGCGAGCATTTGTGCACTGATATGTGGGCAAGGGCATGGAAGAAGGGGAGTTCTCTGAGGCTTGAGAGTACCTGGCCACCCTGGAGAAGGATTATGAAGAAGTAGGCAGAGGGTCTGCAGACGGCAAGGACGAGAACAAGGGCTCCTGGTACCTGCAACACCTGGTCTCTGGCTCCCAGTTTTGTATCTCTCATTCTACTCTTTCCCCAATGCTTATAAATACAGTTGATGTTTCAAGTGAAAAAAAGAAGAAAAAGGAAAAACAAAACCAGACACTACTGGATTTGACAACAGAGATCTTCAGGTGATCAGATACAAGGACAAAGGCGAAAAAGCAGGAGCAGTGACAGCAGATCATTCTTCACAGAAGAATGGCCATCAAGAGAAGAAAGAATCCTATGTATTCAAATTTGATATAAAGACAATTAATGACAATGACACGGTGGGGCATGGGAGAAGGGGGTACTGGACAGAGAAAGAGGGAGGGGGTGTGGGTAAGGGAAAAAAAAATAAGAAAGAAATTAGTGACTAATTCATATATAAATTGTATTTAATTTGGACCAAAGTACATTACTTAAACATTAATTTTTTTTTTTTTTTTTTTGAGACGGAGCCTCAAGCTATCCCCCTGGGTAGAGTG